ATAATCTTATTAACAATTTTATATATATATAGACAAGATTTATATGAATTAATTTCAAATATTGTTAAAATTTTATTCTCATTGAAAATGTTTATATTTGATATAAAAAAAGTTCTTCCGAAATAGATACGCGACCAATATTTTTTGACTCGAAAATAACTTATTTATCGTTGTTGAATTTGCACATCCCCAGACTAAGTTGCAATAATAAAAATGGCAGTAGAAAAGCGAATAATAAAGCAGTTTACGAGTGTTGTGGTTCAAATATTTTCTTGTTCTTAGGACTATCCCTAAATTGACGTTAACTTTGGTTATGATGTTGGAGATGTGTTTCTTATAATTCAATTTACTATCAATATAAACTCCCAGTAATCTTAAGGTGTCCACCTTTTGAATAGGGATTTTCATTTTATTAATAATTACTGGAATATCATCTATACGGCAGGTTTTTTTGTTCGGAAATATCATGAAATTTGTTTTTTTTGAAGTTGATCGAAATCTGATTTAAGGTTGTCCAGTGAAATAAATTTGATAAGGATATGCTGGTATTTGAAACTAGATCTGCTAGGTCATGTGATCTGGAATAAATAGTGCAATCATCAGCATAAATAAAACTGAGATAGTGCTGAATAAGAATTAGTTACGTCATTCAAGAAAATGTTGAATAAAAGCGGACCCAGCACACTATCCTGGGGAACTCCACTAACAATTGGCAGCGCTGATGATGATATACCATTAATAGAAACATACTGGCTTCCTTCAAGTTCTTCTGTATCGTCTGCGTTCAGGACTTCTTTGGGCGACCTCTTGGGTTGGTGCCATGCACCTGGTGCTCAGTAACGGAAATTATTATATCGTTTTCGTTTCGCTTCACATGGCCAAACCATCGTAGGCGATGATGACGACATGCATCCTTCAACGTGCACAGTCCTGATCGGTCCAGGATCTTAAAGTGCGTCTGCGTCCAGGACTTCTTTGAGCGACCTCTTGGGCTGGTGCCATGCACCTGGCGCTCAGTAACGGAAATTATTATATCGTTTTCGTTTCGCTTCACATGGCCAAACCATCGTAGGCGATGATGACGACATGCATCCTTTAACGTGCACAGTCCTGATCGGTCCAGGATCTCAAAGTGCCAAGTCTGATATTCCAGGAGGGGATGCCAGATTTTCCCTAAGAAGATTTTTACTAAGAAGAGTTGTTAA